TATTTTCTGTTTTTTCCTCGTTGACCTTCCTAGATAGACGGGACATGATGGGTCAATATACATCACAAGGCTCAGGTTGCTGGATATTTACATCATGTTTATTCATTTTTGTGCCCTGGTGCTGCCAGATTTGCATTAGCAGACCTGACATTTCCCAAAAGTTTGGCATGATGATTGTTTCTCGGTTGCACGCAGCTATTCTCGGATGATACTTCGCACTGACCGCGTCACAGGGTGGAATCGCAATCACAAGTATTCACAAGTTGGTTTGTGTGCGGCCAAGCACCAACGAGGCCGCTGATTGCGTTGTGCGATTGGCTTCAATGTTTAAGTCACAGGCAGATCTTCAAGCTCTTGGTTCAACAGCTGCACATGTCACATTATTTCGATATACCCCTCATGCCTCTAGACGAATGGAAAGTGATTACAGCACCTTTCTGATCAATGGCTAGGCGACAGATTTTAGAGCACTGATCAGCATAGACATTCCACATCGACATCATTCAACCTATTGATAGACATAGATGCATATGTAGCATATAACAGCACATAGTTGTGAAATGTTGTGAAAGCTTGTTTGTATGCCGATCATGCTGCCTGCCCCGGACGAGTCCTTGAGTGCTGAGGACATTGAGCCAAATTTCGGTGGAGGCCATCGCATTAGCGAAATCAGAGAAGGAGGGCTTGTGGAGGCGGCTTGGTGTCGAGTCCATCACAGGCATACGGGATACAGCAACATGATGATAACATGATGCATGATGTGCAGTGATGTAATATGGCACAAGAATGCACAAGACATTACAAAACTAATGTCATACAAAATCCACGACCAGTGACAATTGCAGACGCATGCTAAGATATCTTGGGTGCATTAATTATTAAGATGATCAAGCGAGTTCCGTATTCAATCAATACATCATGGATCATCATGGTATATCAATGTTTGATGTTGCTTCGCTTCCTGCCTCTTTGAGGCGTGGAATAGAGAGCACCCAGACAATGCCATTCAAGTCAACGACATCCTGATCTCAGTGACACTTGTCAAGAAGCTTCCAGTTGAAGGCCAGCTACTAGACACTGCTGGAATGTTGTACTGCGAAGTCGGGTTGCCTACCTATGCCTACCTCATTCAATCAATACTACTATTGATTGGACCAGGAAGCGTTCGATTCACTTTTTTTTTCGGCCAAGGCATCTCAAAGAATGTAAACCTGATTCCGATGCTCAGGAATGGGAAGATCACGTTCGATGAGATGATGGAGCCGTGTCCTTGTGATTCCTTGTGTGTGCGTGGGTGTGAATGTGGTGATCATTGCAGCTTGTTGGTTTCGGTCGTTGGTTCCTGGCCAAACTGTTGGATGGATCTCTAAAGGCCTGTACATCTTGCAGAGAAACACTAATGGCAGGCACTAGTAGTCGTGAGGTGTCGTGAGTATCAGCTGATGCACACCCTTCTCGCAATCAAAGACATGATGCAGGAGCAGTTCAAAAGTGAGCTGAGCTGCCAGTTGCGACGGAAGGCAATGGAAGGTGCTAATGATTTTCTTCAGCTGGTGGTAAACTTCAGCATCCTTGCAACGCAACAACTGCAACGCTCCCAAACAATCAACAAAGCTTGAGTATCGAACTGGTGTAATAATATTATATCCAGGAACCCCATTCATGTTCTTTCACTTTTCCTTGTCAGATGGTGCCACCCAATTAATTATTTGATTGACCTGCCAACCATGATCAACCATGATCAACGGTGATCAACGGTGATCAACGATGCCTGGGAGGTCTCAAGGTGGATGATTCCGAGGCAAAGAAGGAAGCGTCTGAGTGGGAACGGCGCAGGGCACGCGTCACCGCAGCCTTGGTGCCCGGATTGAAGAAGTGCCTCGCTGCTCCGTTGGGATCGGGGCGACATGGCTAGTGTCGCTGAGTCAACAAGTCCCCAGAAGATCAGCGATCTTTCAGAAAGGCAAAGAAATCAAAGAAAAAAATTCAAGGAGTTTTGATTCAATGGAGTGACGGAAGTCACTCATCACTGAGAACTAGCAAAAGTTTGTTGTGTTTGTTTGTAGGATGCAATTTTAGAGTACAGACTTTTGAGAAAACAAGTTGACAATACTTGGTTTAAATTGTGTGTGTGTGATTCATATGTCAAGCGTGCACAATATTTCGCAACTAATGATTTTTTTCTGACAGCTGTGCCCGAAAGATCCCGAAAGATATGTTCGCAGCAAGTTTCCGCATGAGCTCTCCCGATAGACACTGAGCGAACAATGTAACGAGTGATAGTTGCTCTGCCAGGGTATGCCGCCCCATAATAGACGGATACGACGGATGCGATCCATTTCAGCACACCTGCTATCGCTTCCATGAGTCTGAGGATCATCGATAGTGAGTTTGGTGCTGGCGCAGGGGACCGCCTTGGCCGCATCGAGAAGATGTATCACCGGGTAGGAAGTGCCTTGTCTCAGAGTTTGTATTTTTTATTGTTCGGGCGAGCCGAAGTGAGATGCTTTGTTAGATTCTAGTTAGATTTGTTCACGGCGTCAAGAGAGACCCATTTCCATATATTCATACCGCGGAGCTGATAACCTGGAACCTAGAGGTACAGTATTTTCTACGTGTGGTGTGCATTCCTTGGCACTTTGCCCAGGCAACGACATCTTCAAGGAGGAACTTCCCAGCGGCAGCCGTTTGGCGCCAGGGTATGTGGAGAACCTCACACCGGTGACCCCGTTTCATGATGTCAAGGAGTGGGAGATCAAAAGTCTGAGAGCGCAAGTGTGCCACCAGTCATTCTCTTGTACACAATTGTGAAATATTCAGAATCCAGATAAAGAAGAAGGATGGATAAATGACGAGGCGCCAAAGCTAGATTTAGGTGACTAAGTGAGTGACTGTGACTAAGTGATGTTGGGGATGCGCTCAAAGGATGGAGACTGTTGCTGCTGTTTGATGCATACACGTGGTGCACTGACTGAATGTGTGTAATGTTCTCATTCGTGTGTGGCAGAAGGGTCTTTTCCCCTCCCTTTGCACTTCAATGCAGGATCATCCATGGTGCGCGGAGCTGCAGAAGCATTGGAAAGGAATCCGACAGGACCGGAAAAAGAAACGAATTGTGAGCATTCATCTTGCGTTCAAAAAGGAGAGCGCATGGATGTAGTAGAAGAACTGAAGAAGTGGCAATTGGCAGTAATGGAATAATTGTCAGCTTCACCAGTTGGAGGCAGTTTGTGTGGCAATGTGACGTGTTGCTGTAGAGTTGCAGTCTTGGATCTACGTAGATCTATGTCGGCCGCATAAAGTGTCAGCTGAGTTTCATGGCACCTGCGATAACATAATTTATCAGGCTCCTTCTAGTTCCAAAAGCAGGAACTGAAGCGAAACTTAGATGAGTCACTTTGGACCGCAGGCTGGGGGGTTGCTAACCTGCAGCAGCAGATTGGCGCAGCTGCCAATCGATTTTGCAGTAAATCCAGTTGAGTGTCCTCAATGAGCCAGCTGAGATTCATTTAGCATTTTATAGCGCTTGAAAATGCTTGAAGTGCAACTTCAATATGTGTACCATAAAATCATTCATGGTCCGTGCCAATTCTGCCTGTGGCAAAAGCATGCACCGACCCCTTCGACCAGGCGCATACCAGAAATCCAATGAAGCCTATGGCAAGGACTGGAAGATCATGGGCGTTCCAACCTGAGCTACATTTCAAATGGTTGGGGTGATACATGGTGGTACAGTACCTGAAATCCGCTTGATGTTCAGTGTCCTCCTTCACCTCTCTGGTTGAAGACATAAATGAATGAAAGGGCAGATTCCATTGATGAATGCATTTGCCTCCACAAATTGCAGTTTTCGATTTTTCGATGATTATGATTTGCGCTGTGTTGCGTGAGCTCAGAGCAGTGGTACCATGGCAATTGCACCGTGTGTGAGGTGCTAACGGAAGACTCGTGGCAAGATGAAAAGCGCTTCAAGGTGACCACAGGCGCCACCCTGGACGGAATGAGAACCTTGCGATTCGTTGGGTTCCAATCCGGCGGGTTTTTGGACCAGGAAATGCCAAAAACCATTTCAATAGAAACAAGGCCGGAAGAAGCTGCCTGGGAGCACTTGCCCCCATGGCCAAGTAGTGCACTTGATGGTCTTGACAATACCTGAAGGTTTGGCGAGTGGCCATGGTGGCAACGAGTGTTTTCAGTACTGGACCAGATGGATCCATGTGAATGATATCATGGAGCATTTGGTACAAACCCGACTGACTCGTGAGAATGATTCATGACTTACATGAGAATCAACGAGCACTTTGGGCTTTGGATTTGGAGTCCCACACTGTATCCACATGAATCCACTTTTATCCGTATCCACAATCCATATCAATCCGTAATCTTCCCTCATCGTCCATCATCTTCAACGAATGCAGTGCGTGCTCGCGCTTGGGACAGGAGCGCTGAAGGAACTCAAGGGCCTGGTGCCTCAGTTCTTGGGCTCGGCTTCGCTGCTAGTTGTCGATAAGATCCAATAGGATCCACTAGGCCTTCTGACAGGATTTGAGATGTCACCCTACGGAACCACAAGCTCCTGCCAGCCAGGAATCAAGCCGTTTGAAGCCTTTTTCGCAAAGATGCCGCCGCGCACAAAGATTGCGCCGCACTCGGATAATTTGATCCTTGGATGCACAGAGTGGTGGTAGTATGAAAGTATCTATATGGCATGGCTCTTGTTCAGGGCCTTCTATTCGCAAGACTCACTTTACTGCTGTGCTCCGCTGTCTCCGCGCTGTGGCAGATCCCTTCAGCTGCAACCGTATCAACAAATCCTAAGACATGTGTAACTAAGGAACTATGTACTCACCTCGCACTTGGCTGCTCAGATAAATTTAAGCATGACATGTGCAGATCTGGGTCAGCCGACCTGGCATGGAAGCTGCGTGTTGAATAAAGTTCATAGATGAAAGTATACAATATACATAATTGTACATACAAATACTGTAGATGATTGCCTCAGGTCAGTTGCGCAGGTTGGAAATCAATTTCGAAGATTGCAAACTAGGTAGAACGATTCTACGCTGCAGGCTCTGAATAGAACAGTGCGTTTATACACGTTTCTTTTTCCTCATCTTTCCTCCATAGACAAGTTGGCAGTGAGCGACGCATGACAAGACTTATATAATAAGCATATCACAAAGCCGTCAGTTGGATGGCATTTGTAGTGATGTCAGTGGATGGCAGGATGGTGATTGTAAGTGTGTGTGTGTGTGTCCACTCTTTGCTCAAGTAGCAAAGCGTGATGTCATGAGGCTTTAGAACTCGAAGAAGGCAAGTGCTCCATCACAGTGGGCAACGAGGACAGAATATGACAATATGACCCTGTAATACCCTGTATTAGGATGAACTTGATGTTGTTTGATGCAGCGATGCTGGCTCCTGCTCTGTTAGTGCATGCTAGCACACATTGGGCCATCAGACATCCAAGTATGCGTTGTATAGGTGCAGGCCGTGATCTAAATACTTGACTATGACTATGTGCGTCTAAAGCTTGCATGCTTGGCAAGGGCATTTGTTTGCTTTTGTCCCGCTTCTGCCCATACTGAACTGCAACCCTCTTTTGTGCATTTACTCTGAATGTCTCTGGCATTGATGAACTTGTGGTGCTCACAGAGGAGGAATGACTTCCGCTGCATTGAAAGCCTACTGAAACGTCTTCAACTGTATGGCTTGTGACTTTCAGACTGAATGAGGGATTCACACTCAAAGACAAGCTGTCATGATGGCACATTTTTGCTTTACTCCCTATTCATAGAAGCTGGCTGCAAACCTGCAGGAGAAATATTGGAAGGAAGGTGAGATGCTAATCCTGGACACCACCTTCATTCATTCCACAAAGCGCCACGGACTACAAGAGTAATGCTGAGAGATATGTGATATGTGTGCTAAATAAGACCCCGGAAGATTTTGCAGAATGCTTAACATCATTTCAGCATTGAGATTGAGAGCTGTGAAAGCATCCGTTCTATTGAGACTGAAGGTTGTCAGGAAGCCAAGACATGCTGTGGCCCCGAGTTACTGAGGAATGAATCAAATCGTCCGCGCTATATCTTGGTGCTCCGATTTTGGCATCCTGGCCTTACTGAGGCCGGGACATGTTTTCCAGGGATATTGGACAAATGGATGCAAATTTTAGAACTTACTGTGACATACTTTGACCAAAAATTGTAAAAAATTGAAATGACTTGAGTTGCTTAGATGTTTTTAAATACAAGCTGTGGTCCAAAAGCAAGGATCAGAAATAAAATCCCCATGTGGAAGAAGTGATGCAGTTGCTTCCGCTTGCTTACTCAAGCAATTTGTTTGCTATGCCCTGCTTGATCTTGACTGATTTATTTTGATCTAGCATTGCGCTCGTGTGGGTGGAAAGCTTGAAAGCTAGAAGGGTTTGAGACACTTTGTACCGGTGGAACTTCCAATCACAGGGACCGTGGACATGACACTGGGAACATATCTAAATTATTCTAAATTTAAATTATGTTAAATTTAAATCAGTCTAAATCGAACCATCCAGCTCTTCTTCATCCACCAAAAAGCACGACTGTCCCCAAGAGCTACTCAGTCTTCATGCTGTATATACCTGGTTGGAGTTTAGATTTACGGAGCATCCGCTTCAAACATTGACCAAGTGTGGTGCTATCCCATGGGATCATTTGCGACAGGAGGAACGACGTGCCATCCACGTGTCTCATGCTATTTTGGCTAGAGCTGCGACTTGGAACCAACTGGACGTGCGCAGATTGGGTAGGCTCCCTCCCTTTCGAGACCAGGGAAAAGGAGTCTAGGCATCGGTAGCCAAAGTTGTCGATCCACTATGATTGGTGGCTTCCAATTGAAACACTTGGCTGCTTGTACTCTAGCACAGGTATAAATTGTGTGAATCTAACCCCGCGAGCAGACAGACAAACCATGCTTAAGAGTCCGGGATTGCTGCAGACTTCCAGCGTCAAATGCTGTGCGTTAATGTATTTTGTGTGTTCTTGGCGTTGGAGTTCATTTGGCGGGCAGCACATGCTCAAGAGACTGGTTCACAAGGAGGTTGGATGATTGATGAGCAAGGTCCATCAGTGGGGACTGTAGGAAGCTTTCACTTTTCCTTGTACGAGCTTCAGAGCTTCATGCCAGATTTTTTATACCGAAACCAGACGTAGAAACACACCCGACTTAGAGCAGGCAGAGGTTTGAGCCCACCTAGGCCAAAGGGATGTGATTCGGGGCCAAACCAGATGTTGTGGCAAAATTGGACGGTTCGTCCGACTCACTTTGTAGCGACTAGCCTGCTTCAGCGGAAACTCCCCTATGCGTTGATTCTGCGTTGATGTAAAAGATATTGCTGAAGTTGTACTTGCGCTATGACAACTGTTTCAGCGCGAATTCGCGTAGAAGCAAAGCAAGGCCTTTGCAATTGTAGCATTTAGGTTCCAAACCCTGAAGCTTGCAAAGTGAAAGCTAAAAAAATGCTGGTTGGAAAAGTGCGAACTGAGAACATGTAGCTAGTGATCCCGGTGATACATCGTTACTCCCTTGATTTTGAGTATTTGTGAAATTCTGTCGCCTGAAGCCCACCATGTGCCTGCTACTGTTGTGGATGCTACTGTTGTGCCTGCCGCTTTGCGCAGATGAGCAGATGGGTGCTCTCTCCCAGCGAAAAGAGGCCAGCGGCCAGAGAAATTGGGTGCCATTGGGTTGCTGAATTTTCTCGTTCGAGCGGCTGGGGAAAAAATTGCTGCCTCAAAAATGGGAGAGATTGACAAAGAATAATTATGAGTGGTTTCCTGAGTTTTAAGAAATCTTAAGTTTGACCGACATGCAAAGGCAGAGGGGCTCACAAAAATATTGCTAGAGGCTTCATGACTTTGTGTTGGACCCAATCTCCTTTGATCTCCTGTGCTGGTCTGTTTGTTTGTTGTCACAGACCGAAGTGGCAAGCGAAAATGAATGTTTTTTTTTTCAAAGATCCTTAAATTGAGATGAAGATCTGGGGCAGGGTTCGGTGGCAGCTCCCCCTTGCTGCAGTTCAGTCGATCGCCGGAAGGCCACCCAATGGACCCGGGCCACAGTCCTCCCACCAGGCCAGTGCCAGCACAAGAGAAGATCTTTATTTTTCGTGAGAACTCCTCAATCCATATCAATGCATAGATGAGAATCTTCCTTGATACTTCCAACTGTTTCCCACATCTCGACTCCTCAAGAAACGCATTTTGTAAGAGTCTCAAGAGGGGCAATGAAGATGCCACATAATGCATATTGCATGCTGTGCTCTGATGCATGACCAGTCTCGTTGTCTAGTCTAGTTGGTATGTTGCCTTGAATGGTTCAAGGTTTCATGTTCATGAAAGCAACCAGGGCTGTTGTTGCGTCGTTAAGTTGCAGGAGTTTCAGAAGTTTCGGCCAATGTTTTTTCCCCACCTGCCAGGTGAGGGTTGTTAGATTTTATGTCAGTTGCCTCCTCCTCCTGCCTCGTCCTCCTCTCCTCCTCCTCCTCGTCCTCCTCGTCCTCCTCCTGCTCCACTGCGATCCATATCAGTGTGCCCTGCCGGACCTCAACCACGACCATCCACGTCAGTGTGCCCTGCCGGACCTCAACCACGACCATCCACGCCCAGTGTTCCCTGCCGGACCTCAACCACGACCATCCACGCCCAGTGTTCCCTGCCGGACCTCAACCACGACCATCCACGCCCAGTGTTCCCTGCCGGACCTCAACCACCTGTTCCCTGCCGGACCTCAACCACGACCATCCACGCCCAGTGTTCCCTGCCGGACCTCAACCGCGAGTATCCACGCCAAGTGTTCCCTGCCGGACCTCATGTAGGAAGATATGGGACAAAGAATGTGCAGAAGAAAGTTAGAAAGAATGTCAGAAAGAATGTCAAAGATATGCCAGAAGATATGCAGAAGATATGCCAGATAGAATGCCAGATAATATGCCAGAAGATATGCCAGATAGAATGCCAGATAGAATGCCAGAAGATTTGCCAGATAGAATGCCAGAGAATATGCCAGAAGATATGCCAGATAGATATGCAGAAATATGCCAGAAGATATGCCAGAAGATATGCCAGAAGATATGTCAGAATATATGCCAGAAGATATGTCAGATAGAATGCCAGAAGATATGTCAGAATTGCCAGAAGATATGCCAGATAGAATGCCAGAAGATATGCAGATAGAGTGCCAGAAGATATGCCAGATAGAATGCCAGAAGATATGCCAGATAGAATGCCAGAAGATATGCCAGATCATATGCCAGAAGATATGCCAGATAGAATGCCAAATAGAATGTCAGAAGATATGTCAGATAGAATGCCAGAAGATTTGCCAGTAAGAAAATGTATAAATGTCATGGTGGGGATCACACGAAGTAAAGTAATTTTTTTTGCAATGCAAGTGATCACCTTGCGAGCGGGAGGTCCAAACAGGCAGACCGCCGCCAACACAGGCGCCAAGCCTCTTCAAATCTTACTGGTTTGAGGTACTGTTTGTTTTGAAATGGCGTGCAAGGATAATTTTTCGACAAATCTCGGTGTCCTTCAGCACAGATTGGATCAGATTGGCATCAGTGATGACTTGGGACCATTTGTTGTGATTCATCTAAAGGCATGCCCAAAGGCGGCTATGCAGCAACAGCTGAGAAAACTTGCCCAGGTCTACTACCCGTCTGCACATCAGCAGTGATACACAGGACAGCGACAGGACAGTGGTGACTGCTAGTGCAAGACGTTGCAAGACCCAATATACTAGGTTGCTGTTTGACTATCCCATATATAATATTATATATATATATATGTATTTGAAGTTCTTACAAGCTACATCACATAAATTCAATTCGAAGATCTTCCTTCGTGCAATTCCTGTTTCACCCAAACGTGTTAGAATTATTGAGAAAAAGCAACACGAGAAAAGACTATAGAATTGTCTCATACGTCAAAATGAAAAAGGACAAATAATAGAAGAAAATAAAAATAGTCTATTTACCAATTGCACGAGATTATACAATGAAATCATATATATATACTTTAGGGGTTGCTTCTAACAGTAACTAGACCCTTTCTTTAGGAGGTATACATGTATGTACTAATGTATGATTCCATAACCATAAATTACCTTTAAAGATCCCAAACATTACCCTCATATCCCAAAATTACCCTTAAAATATCCCAAAAATTACCCTTGGATATCTCGGTTATTTTTTGTCCCATGGTGCTGGCCGTGCATAAATGTTTAATAGAAATTGCCTCCTTATATGGATAATTGCTTTTTTCTTCATGGTCACTCCAATTCAGTAAATTCAATAGACATTCCCTCTCGGTCGATTTTCGAATTTTCTAGTATATCCTGTCCGAAATCAATTTCTTTCTGGGCTTGGGGCACCCAGAGTACACTCTCTTTAGATGATTTTCGTTCAGTTCGGGGCGGGACGGTTGGTTTTTGTTTTTTGTGCAAACCTCACAACAATTGCTGAGAGTAGTGCGGCGCAATTCTGTTGTATCTATTATCAGATTGGATCTCACACGTGAGGGCCGCCAGCGGCTGACCGGGAGATTGTGGCTTTCCTCCTTCTATACTTTTATTTTCTTGATAACATATACGACTCCGAATGCCTCCTCAATGTCGATTTGTTTATAATGAATTTTGATTTTAGTACATTTATCGGCAGTACTCTGAATATCGTCCTAACATGGTGTGTATGTTAGGGTATACACATATATTAGGGTATAATAAATTAAATAAATTATATTATTTTTCTCAGGATATATATATATTTCTGATATATTGTAAATATATTATATATTTATTTTCTTCATATCAAAAAAAAATAATTATATTGAATATATATATATATAATATATATTTATATATATAAATATTAAATTTAGAATTATAATATATACATAAATAATGAAATATGTATTATATTATATTATATTATATTATATTATATTATATTATATTATATTATATTATATATATATATTTAATATATTGGTGTAAATCAAAATAGGAGGTTCGGAATAAATTCCGGGATTATACCCGTTTTATATCGTCGTTCGATGCCCCCATTCCATACCTCCTTAAAGGATATAATATAATTATGTATTATACATACATATATAATTTTATGTGTATATAATTATTTATATAAATATATAATTAATTTATAATTATTTATGTATATATATATGTATAATTTGATTTTAATTTTTTGTATACATATATAGTTTAAATTTTGTAGTTATATTGGGAAAATTATGCTTGTAGTACTTATAATTGTAACGTATTTTTTTGTGTAATGGTAGGGATGCGCTTTGTTGTTATTAGCTGGCAATTTAAAAATGGATTCTTTGTAGTTATAATTCTCTTTTTTTCTTAATTTGTGGCAGGTTTTCGCGTATACTACTTATTATAATTATTGCCTGATTGAGATATTTGATGGTAGAGATATGCTTACTAATTGCTAGCTAGTTGGCAGTCTACTTTCGCTCCAATCTTCTAATTTTGATATAGATGCGCTGCGTGATGGCAGCTGTGCTGGAATGGGCTGTTTTATTCCAACCCGTTCTAGACCCGGATTACCACTGTATACCCAGACCCACTCTTAGGAAAATAAATGGTAAATTTTTACATAGAAATCTGAAGCTGAGTGGGCAGTTTTATATGGTAATCCGTGGATAATGTTGGCTACCGGTTGTGTCTTAGTTAGTATACGAGAGCTAGACATGTAAGGCAAACCTGGATTGAATAGGTATATAATAAGGTTGGATACCTGGAATACTTGGGATATTTCCCTGTCTCAGACCGAATTTGGCACCAAGCTACTCTTGGTCTTAAGCAAGGCGGCCTCGGGTTACGGCAGTGCACTGTCCATGCCCCGGCTGCTTACTTGGCATCCGTGGCCGCCACCCATGAAGCTTGCAGGAGCCTCGATGGTCGGTACACACCTGATTGGCCTTCTTCTGTGTAGGTGGCGGCCGCGTTTGATGTTGCCGTCCTTGCTTCCGACCGTTTCCATGGAGTTCACCAACCCCGGCAGCAAATCTTGTCGGCGGCCTGGGACAAGGCCCAGCTTGCATAGCTTCAGGTGTCGGCCGAAGGAGAATCCGAGCGGGCACATCTTCAGGGCACACCTTTAACTTCTTCAACAACCGGGCGCCGGGGCGTGGCTGCTGGCCCGGCCTTCGAAAACCCTTGGGCTTCACCTGGATGCTGCCTTTTTTCGCGTGCTTCTCCGCATGCGGCTCCGTTTTCCCGTCGCAAGCTCTGATGGCTATTGCCCCTTGTGCGACGGGATCGCGAACCGCTTCGGGGATCATGTTCGGGCGTGCCCTTGCGGCGGCGATTGCGCGAAGCGCCACAACCGCTTCCGGGCGGTCGTCGCTGCTCGGGCTATGGCCGCTGGACTCAGCCCTGAGGTCGAGAAACAAGGCTTGTTGCCTCAACGGCCGGAGGAGCATGGGGCTAGTGAAT